TTTTTTTCTCCCTAACAATTGTTTTTTTTTTTTTTTGGGAGGGAGGGGGGAAGGTCATTTGATTGATGTTATCTGTTTGGTTGTTGAGAAAAAGAATTGCTAATTTGTTCTCACAATCAAGTAGTGGTGTTATTATTTGGAAAGAGGTTATTTTCTCTGGGAAGAAATTCTCTAGAATTTCTCTGGGCTTTAGATTGAATTTTCCCAGGCTTGGATCAGAGAATTTCTCTAGATTGAATTTTCTCTGGTTTGGACTAGAAAATTTCTCTGGATTGAATTTTCTCTAGCTTCTCTGTCTCTCCCTCTCAGTTGTTTTTTTTTTTATTTTTTCGGGGGAAGGGGGGTGTTATTTGATTGATGTTATCTGTTTAGTTGCTGAGAAAAAGAATTGCTAATTTGTTCTCACAATCAAGTAGTGGTGTTATTCTCTGGAAAGATGTGATTTTCTCTGGGAAGAAATTCTCCAGAAATTCTCTAGATCAAGGAATTTCTCTAGAATTTGGATTGAATTTTCTCTGACTTGAATCAGAGAATTTCTCTAGATTGAATTTTCTGTGGTTTGATTTGAGGGATCTTAGACATTATGAAAATCTTGAATGTCCTTTATGTTATAAAATTTTAATACCAGGGATCTCAAAAAAAAAAAATCCCCTTAATAAAATTTCCTTTTGATAAATCAACAAAATTTAAAAAAGAATTATGTTAGATAGAAAAAAAAAAAAAAAAAAGGTTTTTAGAATCATGTTTGATTTGTTTTTTAGACAAAAAAAAAATTCAAAATTTAAAAAAAAATAAAAACTAATTTAATAAAAATAAATATGAAAGAATATATTTAATTTGTAAAAATTATTTCAAGCCACTCAAAAGATAAAATTATATAAAAAAAATTATTTTTTATTTTTTATTTCTTAACCAAATTAATTTTAAATTTTTTTTGAAAAAATAAAAAAAAAAATCTAAAAATCAAACCAAACATATTCTACGAATTTTTTGAAAAGCTATATCTTGTGTTTTTAACTTATTTAATTATTTGTTAATTTTATAATATTTTCACCATCTGACATTACAACATATAAGAGTTTTAAAGACTAATTTTTTTTATCTCTAAAAGTCGTATTTTGTTACAAAAGACATTTAGGAACTAATTTTCTATCGTCATGATAATAGTCGTTAAAAGGTCTCCCTGAAAAGTCAAAAATAAGAATTTTAGCGATAAAATTCCAAAAAAGTCAACAATAAATAAACTTTTAGGAACAAAATAATTTTTTCTCAAAATGGTTTATTTTTTTAAACAAAAAATTTGATATCAAAAAGATAATAATTAATCACTAATGTTAAATTTTCATTGCTAAAAATATAATAACAACACTTTTCGTAACAAAAAATTTAGTCCCCTAAAAATAATTTTGTCCCTAAATTTTAGTCTCTAAAACCTTAATTTTTTATCATGTGATAAGTGTTTTTTCATTTTAATTTTGCATTTCATAACGTATTTAAAAATAATAATTTAGCTAAACCTCAAGGGGTGTAGGTAATTTGCCCTTATTTGTCAAAAGGGTCTTTTAGTCAATTTATGATATCCGTTAACAGCGCTAATTATGATGGGGCACGATATAATTTTTGAAACCTCAAGAGGAATCTGTAATTTTGCTAAACTTCAAGAGAGGTGTAGGTAATTTGTCCTTTAAAAAAGTAAACAATAATTTTTTTTTAAAAAAATAGCTTAAAAAATATGCAATCCGATCACATAATTATTGATATTCAATGAATA